AACCTAACTAGCAAGCTACTCACTACAAATACGTTTCTTTGTTTAGTTAATCTACTCGCTACAAACATGATTTGCCCTTGGATAATATGTTGTACATATATAAAGTTGTTGATAAGATGCATTTGTCAAGGAAAACCTTATGATTTAAGAAAGAAGTTGAATTGAGATTTGAGATTTTCAATGTAGGTCAAGGATAGGATTATTTAAAGTCACCCTAACTAATTTCTTATTGCACGAATATGTTTCCCCAATACAACACAATTTTGCCATTTTATTTGGAAGATAGTAAAATAAAGTCACTTGACAACCCCTTGCAGAAAAACTGTGCTCTAAAGCGTGTACATACACAGCTAGATCCGCAGTCTGCCACTGTCAACGATTTCCATGCTTATATATATATATACATATATATATATATATATATATGTACGTAGTTTGAATGGTTTCCTTATATTGAACTTCAGATCTCGAAACTTCAAAAGCAATTAGTTGGTTTGAAGAATCACCGGATATAATCTTAAGACTTACTTATTGAGGATAGTTCTATTTGATTTGTTTGGTGCAAGCACTCTTTTTCTGTTAGACTGAATATTGAAAGCTCCGGCAAAGCTATAACAAAGTCATTTTTCATTGCACCCTATCTACCATTGTATGTATTCTTCCGACGTTTCAATGAATACCCTACTTTCACGAAACAAAATCTATCTATATGAAAGTTACTTTGTATAGAGATATGTTGGAGAAGAATTCACAACTCCATAACAGTTTCATGCATCAACTCTTTAATCATAGTGTAGCATTATCTTTCTACTCAGTATATGCATTGCAGTAATGTATAGCCACTAATGTTAATCCGAGTTTATTAGAATGTATACCGTATTTCCATCACAATTAGAGATTAATGAGCAAAATTGTTCTCATATCTTTACCCGTTCAGCACTCCTCCTTCGTTATCTAACCATACGACAACAAAGAAAGAAATGCATAAGGAAAAAAAATATGAGTTTGAAAATTACTACTCGTAACAAAAAGCTACAGACTCACAAAACTAATTTTGAAAGAATAATACCCTGGTGCATTGGGGATTGCCCTTGATGATTTCCCAAAATTCAAAGAAAATTGAATGCATGGATACAAAATTGAAAAATTGAATTCCCCCAGGTACTTACTCAGTTGTCCAGGGGACCGAATATTACACTGGAGATTTTTTGTTGTGATACGGTCCGACATACCAAGTGTAATAATACAATTAATGTAATATTACAAGTGATGTAATATTCCAGTGCATTGGAGATGGGGGCCTTTGATGATTTTTAAAGTTAAAAAAAAAATTAATGTATCGAACCGTATTCCCAACACATCGAAAATTTTCTGCTGCTTTTTCATTCTCTGCGCTGCTCAAGGAAACATGATATGCATATATACCGATGGAGTGGAAAGTTTTTTGAGCCAAAAAAACATGGGCGTCAATCTCATCATTATTTCTGTAAAAGTAAATACTAATTATTTTTTGCATTGGGAATGTATATAGGCATATATGGTTTTCTCTTTCTTTTTGTTAAGATTTTGTTCATCAAAAAACAACAAATAATAATTAGGTTTAAAGGTCAATAAGAATTTCCCCAATTCGACTAAATTAAGTATTTTTCTTACGGAATCCAACGACAAAATGTGTTTATTTTCTTTCGGCGGGTCTACAATATATAAAATTTTGTTTAATTTTAAGAAGAAAAAAAGAGTTTTGTAAGGAAAAGAATCTACCATAAAACAGCTGCATCACATGGAAACATACTGTAGCAGCACATTTAGCTTTACACACACACTATCCCAACGGTAAATGTACAAGATTTTTTCTAATGCACATTTAAATTACACATCTGAACAAGAATTGTTAAATTTTTTAACCTAACAGAATTTAACAGCTCTTGTTAAGTGTAACTTAATTGCGCACTACAGAAAATTCAATAAATGTATATGGTCGAAACTTGACCTAACTCGCTGGAACAAAAGCCGCCCTCTAATTTACCAGAAAACATGATAAAAAAAAATATATATATATATATATGACCGAAAGTTTAACCATGCTTCAATGCATGACGTGCATTAATGCATGACGTGCATTAAGACAACAGATGGTTTAATTTGTGATCAAGGATTTAATGGCTAAGTACCCAATATATATACTATAGAAAATTTCGATAAATTGAAGACGATTAAGAATGTTACACTTACCACATTTGTACCACCTCCCTAATAGTGTAGGGCACACAAACACGTATAAAGACAATACAAATGTGGTAAGACAAACGTAGTAAGAGTAACATTTTTGAATATGACATTATGGGATGGGCAAGTCTGTGTTGTAACTAAACTGCTACTCTAAAATAGTATGGTCTCTTTGTAACTGCCACCCTCCATCCATCCATGCAGGATCACTCAAAAGCTAATTCAGTCCATCAAGAGGGCTAATATACTTCAAGCTCCACAGCAAGAATTAATTTTCAAGCAATTCAATACACATATACTACTGCTTTGTAGAATTCTATCTAGTATCAACACAACTTAAAAAGAAAGCATTTTTGGAGCCTTCTTATTTTCTCAGTAATATTTTTGCAAGGGGTTGTCGCTCAGTTGATTTAAGATCATTTATTCCTGCACCGAGATCTTAAGTTCAATTCTCCCTTCTCCCATTTCCGCTTGTATTAAAAAAACTTTCATATAATTTCAACTGCAGTTATTTTCTCTACATGAAAGTTTTTTCACTGAATCACTACAATTCTTTTAATATTTCCTGCAAACTCCTCATTATATATATAGCTATATGCTATCCAATTCATTATAAAACAGCAGGGCAATAGTTATAATTTGGCTTAAGAATCTGGACTCATTTCCATGTACTCCATATATGGAATTCTCTAAGAGTAACCAACTTGCTTGAAGCAATTACAACAGAGAGAGAGAGAGAGAGAGAGAGAGAGAGAGAGAGAGAGAGAGATGGATGTTGACACTCTTGGCACCAACTTGCCGAATCATTTACGGATACAAAACCCTAAACCCCAAACACTCTCTAGCCATTAGAATAATACACAACTAAACACAGGCAAGTGCACAACTCAATTTCAAATACTTTCTACCTAGGATGCATGGACGTGGATACGAACACAAGAATACGACACAACACGGGAATACGAAGGGATACCACCATGTCCATGCGTCGTAGCTTGCACTTTTCAAGACAGAAGTTTTTACATGTTATTTACACCCCAAGATACATATATTCAGGCCTAAACCTATATTAAGGGATCTCTCAATTATTTTCGACAAGAAGACAGATTTGCAGCCATGGACGAAAAGACTTGGAGGCATGAACGATTGGAATCTAAATAAAATACATACACATACGACAGACCTTGGGATTAGTTAGTCAAATACTTCACCATGCAAACAAAAGATTAGGTGACTCCTTATCTATCTTGGGGTTATTAGGCTTTAGAGTTCGAACATGTGTTTGTGCATTCAAAAATCTCTTAAACAGACTTTACGGAGATTTGATTCATTCTGATGCTTCGTTCATTGAAAAATCTCATCTTATGTTTTTGTTTAATTTATCAACCTTAATTTCTTTTTCTTTTCTAACTACAACAATTCTGATGTTTCTCTCTTAAAATTAAAATTTTATCTACATTTTGGAGGTAAAGTAGGCTCGTTTGAGATGTGCTTTTAAATGACTGAAAGTTTTTTTAGAGAAAATGTTTTCTGAAACCAATCATTTGTAAAAATGAAAGTTAATTCTAGAAAAGCACTTGAAGTGCTTCCTGCAAGAAGCACATAAATGGCTCTTCTAACAAGAAGCACTTCAAGTATTTTTGAAACTCAAAAACATTTTCTCTAAAAATGTTTTCAGTCATTTAAAAACACTTAAAAAAACTAGCCCTTAAACTCCCTTCCAGTTTCATTACAGATATAAGCTTCCCCACAGTAAATTTATTTATTTAAAAATAAAGCTTGTGCTTTATACTGTTGATATTTTAAGAACTACTAGTGATAACTATAATCAATATTTATTGACTAAATGCAATAATGTGGCAGCATTAAAAGGTTTAAAAAGACTTCTATAGGGAAGTGAGAAATAGATAATTGCAGATAACATTAATGTATGAAATTTAGAGGACATGTCAAAGGTCAGATTGTTTGTAAACTAATTATGCAAGGCCCTTAAATTTTCTGCTATGTTTACAATTCCTAAGTTTTCATACAGAAAGTAAACAATATTAAATTTAAGCAATTATCCAACAAACAATTGAGCAATATTTCTGTAATTTTACCTTCCTGGAGCTGTGCATTAAACCACCGCAGGTGAAAATTAAGCAAAGCTTCCAGTTTTCAACATCAAAGTCACATCCATTCATTTCAAAATTTAGGAACAAATGAAGAAAATATAAAACAAAGTTCAATATTCTATGACAATCTAGAGAGAGAGAGAGAGAGAGAGAGAGAGAGAGAGAGAAGGGAGAAAGGGTTGCTTGACCTTTTGAACTTGAATATGCTGGTTTACTCATGCATGGCTGGACCGCCCATACCGAAATGAAAAAAGAAGTCGTCTTTGTAGTTTGTCCAACAAAAGACGAAAACTTCCAAGTTTTCGTGATCCATTTCAAACAGGCAAGCATACGGGTAAACAGGGAAAAAGAAAAAAAAAGCAGCTTTCCAAGTTCAAATCCAACCAAAAAAATGTCATGGGGTTCAACCCAGTAGAGGAAAAATAAATAAATAAAAACACCGCCACTCTTTTTTAACACTAAATTCATCTTAATCTACAAGAGGGCATCGCGTTTTAACCCTGGACACGCTACGTTAAAGAGAAATACCCATCCAGGATAATCCACAAAACACCACCACTCTTTAAAATCTCCAATTAGTCAAAACAAAATGAAGAAAACATGTAGCGCCTAAACATATTTGAATTTGAACAAGATATTAATCAAGAGGATTAATGATAATACCAATCATAATAGATGATGACATTCAAATTAACTAATTAACAAGCATTAGAAACTGTCAACAAAACAAATACGTTCCTCGCGCATCAATACTTTCTTTCAACTCTCTCTTTCTAGCTTCCTAGCTAGGCTAGTCCAAATGTGGGTATCAATTTTTGCTACAAAGATATTATCAAAAGATTTGAGAGTACACACTTACTACGTACGGAACAGTTGCTCGTCGTAGGTAGGTAGTCAGAAGAAGAAGAAGATGAAGAATGTGGGAAGTGTAAACTTTTGTTCCATCAAGATCTTGGTGGTGGGAAGAATTGCGTACCCATGTATGTGTTAATTGGAGCTGGATATAGAGAAGAAGGATCTATAACTGTCGTCGAACCCGCCACTGCCATTCCCTCGTGACCGCCACCACCGTCAATGGATGCTGTGTTAACGGCGGTGGTGGCTCCCGCGATGAGATTGAGCGGTTGGAAATTAACTCCACCACCAGACGAGGTTTCAGCTGCCATGTTCATGTTGTAGTTAGGGGATTCGGGTCCATGGTCGTTGAGAATTCCTTTAAACCAATGGCCTGCGATGTTCACAGCCGTCTGGTACGCGTACTGGACCTCGTCGTCCATTGCGCTCACTTTCACGCAGCGAAATACAGCCTGCGATCTTACTTCCGGCGGGAAATTCACCACATCCAAGCCTACATACACAGACATGTGTAAATCCCAAGCTCCAATACATAAAACTACATAGTTTTTCATGACAAGGAAAGACCCAGAGTAGGAAAATTAAATTAAAAAATTGCTTATCTTTAGATTTTCTTTCTTTTAACACAAATAAAAAAAGAAAGGCACACAAAAGCAAGCAATACGCACAAACATGAACACGGAATTTTTAGAGAGAGAGAGAGAGAGAAACAGTGTATTTCTTTCTTTGTTTCTTTCTTCCTGTCAATGTAATAGTCGTCAGGACTACTGCAGAACAGTGTTTTTTTGGAAAAGGAAAAGATGAAAAGAAAGAAAGCTGGTGATTTCTGATGGGGTTTTTGGAAGAATGAGTTTTTTACTATTGAGGGATCGACTCTTCCTAACACGCAATCGATATTCTCTTCTATTTGTTTGGTTTTGCACACGCTACCTTCCAAAACCCTTCCCCTTTTTTCTCCCCTTCTTCCATTCTCTCCTTGTTCACTCAAACCCTCCTTTTTTTCCCTCTCTCAAACGATCAAAAGATCTCATAAAACGTGTATGTATATGTGTGTATAAATAGAATACCTGAAGTATTTGTGTTTGTGTGAATACGAAGAGAGGGATTCGAGCTCGGATTTTCTCTGAGTCTTTTCGAACTTTCTCCACGAATCACTTGAAGCTGCTGCTGCTGTTGGTTCTGGTGTTGTTGTAAATGATCTTGCTGTTGGTGGTGTTGGTGCTGCAAGGCGGCGAGCTGCTGCTGCCGCTCACGGCGTTTCGACGCCGGAACCCACGTGCTCTTGACGTGGGTCGGACAGTCTAACCCTCGGTTCTTGCAGCAAGTCCTGCACCTCATGTGTATGCAGTCTTTCTTCGCTTGGTTCCCGCAGTCCTGACAGCTGGCGCCACCTCCGCTTCCTCCGCTTCCTCCTCTTCCTCCTGACGACGACCTCATCATCGTAAACGCCGCTGCGGCCGACCTCGACGATGAAGTGTCATCCGATCCCCTGCTGCTGGGACCCACCCCTAGAGCAGCCGCAGAAGCGTAGAGATCTTGATGGTGGTGGGGATGAGGCTGGTAAAGCCGTGGGGGCGGCTGGGTTTGGAGCTGGAGGAGCTGCTCCTGTTGCTGCAACAGCTCGAAGCCCTTGTACGGCTGATTTGCCACGTCCTCATTCTTGTACCAGAACAACGTCTCCGGAGCAATTTGTTGGTGGTTGTGGTGATCAGGCGGGGGTGGGTTGTTGCTATTATGCTGGTCGTCGCTGCCGCCTCTGCCTAATGAGAAAAAACCAGCCATTGCTGCTGCTTCCTTAACCGAGACCCAAATTGTGACCGAAAATCCATATCAAGCTCAAACTCCGACCCAATTCTCTAATGGGTATTTACTATTCACCTTGAAGTTTTAATTTTTATGAAAATATTTGAAGAGAATGGTGAAAAATGAAAATCTGCAGAGAGGGACAGAGATAGCTAGAACTCAGTTTGGCAGCGTTAATCGCGCTTTTAATCCGTCCTCTTCACTGTGCTGCGCTGTTCGCCTGTAATTTCCAAGCATTTATGAATCCCGCAGAACTTACCTCTCTCTGCAACGCCGCCATATCCTTTCTCTCCTCTGCACTCTGCAAGCAGCTCACACAAACTCAAGCCTCTCTCTCTCTCTCTCCGTCTGATTTGTTCGCAGGTGATGAGCTTTTCAGCTCTGCGCAGTGCGTTTCTTTCTCTGTGTGTGTGTGTGACTGTATAACATAAAACCCCTCTCTCTCTCTCTCTCCTCCCTCTCCTGGTTGGTTATGGATGTCATAATCTCGTCTCAAAACGGTAGAAGAATTAGATCAAATCACTGTTAAATTCGCATGCTCATCCAACGGTCATTTGCCTCGCCACGTGTCGCCGCGTCAGCTTTTTGCTTCTTCGTCCTTTTGCACCGTAAAACCCGCCACTTTCTTTAAGCACTCCCCGCCCAATTTTTCCCTTTTTTTCTATTCTTTTATTTCCTTTTTACTGCTCAAAAATATCCGTTTTTTCATATACATTATTATTAACTCTAAAAATTTTATTTTACATTTTAAATTTTTATAATTTGAAAGAAAATATACAAAGATGATATGGAGACATTTTCTTTTCTTTTTTCCACTTAAAACATTAATTTATGTTGAAATATTCAATATGATGATCTAAACAAAAGAAAAATGCATAAGAAAAAAAGACGTGCGGTTATCAATTTTTGTGTTATATTTAACGTTGACACTTAATTCGGTAAGCATTTGTCTCTATTTTAATAGAAGATCTTAAATTTAACTGCATCGGTAGCAAATTTAATATAAATATATTATAATCTACTCATAGAGAAAAATCATATTGATTGTTGATATTATGACGGAGATATAACATTTTTTTTATCCCATTTCCTTTTCATTTCACATGACCAAATTGTTTATCCCTTTTTTTGGTGAAAATTATGGTCTTCGTTACACCAAGGTTTAGCTGTAAAGCAAATTCTCCTCCACTCCTCTACTCACATGAGTCTTTGGAGGGTAATTTAGTAAATTTAATATGATTTTCTCTCAATAATATTACACCCTATCTTCGTTAGTGACTTTGATACACAATCCGTACAAATTAAAGTGTAGTCCAAGTAATTTTTTTACCTATAACCAGGTCAGCAATACCGTATTACTTGCAAGTGGTGGTTGCTATAGTAAATAGAGTCTTTCTTTTTAATCTAATGCGTTCCGGGTTCATACTTTTCTTTCTTCTCTTAATATAGTTTAAGTGATTTTTGTACTTTATCTAGTCTTAAGTGGAGAGAGATGGTTTGAACCCAGAAAGCTACGAGTTGAGGAGAAAGGCTCAAATTATGATAGCAATCCATCATTTTGGCCTTCCATAATAGACCAAAAAACTGAGTGTGATACCAATATTATAGGAATCACACTCTTACACTGAAACCGCTCAATTCATATATATATATATATCAAACTCATTGTAACTACTAAAGAATGCCTAATATAGTAAGGTTTTTTTAGCTAAAATAGTCGTTGACATTGACATAACTCCTCACTTTATTCTGTGAAAAACTCTGTTAATAAGGAATAAAATGACAAAATTACCCTCAATTTCATAAATAATAGGAAAATCATTAGGACAAATGATTTGAAATAAAAAAAAAGAGTATTTTTGTCATTTTATCCTTATTTAATAGAGATTTTCATGGAACTACCAAAATGATTGAATGTAGGCAAATTCGGAGATCACTTTTATCAATTTCAAATTTCAGAGAACCAAGTGAGGAGTTATGTCAATGTTTATGAACTATTTTGGTTTAAAAGCCTTACAGTGATTAGAAAAATAATTTACATTATTTATTTTTGTAATTATTTTATTGATGTGGAGAGATTTGGGTAGTTTAAAAGAGAAGTAGTGTGCCACTTAGTATTAGTATTATAATCTAGTGGTATTATTCTTCACTTGTAAGTGAGAGATTTTAAGTTCGATTCTCGCCAAAAGATAATTTGAACTAAATTATTGTTAATCCATTGAGAGTCTTAACTCACTCATCTACCCTCTTAATGTAGATAATATTGTTCATTAATAAAAATAAAAAATAAAACCAAAGGAGGAGTGGTTTGTCGTGTATCTAGAAAATAATCATGTTGCATGCATCTGTAGTGGAAATAGAGGGAACACAGCGCAGCCTCCTCGTACCTTTCTTTTTTCTATTCCATTATTATTTTAATTTATTTTATGTTTATTTCTTTCCCATTGTTTTATTTTATTTTATTTTTTATTTTCACCCAATTACAACATACTCACCGGAGAACCATGGCAGTTGACTATTTGGGATTAGGATCCTATCCGAATAATCAATTAATTGTGTTCGTTCATCGTACATTATTCGATCAGAAATTAACGAAAATTAACCTCACGATAAACATGCACGATTAATTGATCTTCTAAATTTCCACGAGGAGGATCCGGGACTATTTGAACACAATAGATTCTCTACAGTAACACTCTAGTTATAAAAATCTTGATCTCAACTTCGGTTGGTTGTATATAGAAATAAAAACCACATTTTTTTTAAGTTTCCTGTCAACAAAATTTATCTGCATAATAATAAAGATGAAATAAAATATTTCGCTTTTTAGAGTTGCTTTGAGCTTGTTTGTTCATAATAACTCGTAAATATGAACACTCTTGTTGTTGAGCCAAAATGTACATGTAGCTTATTAATATTGTTTACAGCTTATTGGCATGAAATTGGGCAAGAAAGAGAATGCTACACGCATATAAGTTTCTCTCTTTTTCAGTGTCTAAATCTTGAAAATTGACATGCTCCATTGTTAAATGTGTTTATTGTATACATACAAATTTTGTTAAGGATAACTAAGTCAAAATGTGTCTTTAAAACTAGTTAAAAAATGAGTTTTCTATAGATTATTTGTCACCTCATATTTTTTGCAAAATGTTTTATAATGTTATCACGAAAAATTGACGTTAAACTATGATGTGTAGGGAGAATCCCACTTTGAGAGAGTCTTCTTTGCATTTCTCATATTTTAATGCTAGTGAGACTAAATGTGTAGACTAAATTTTGTAAACTAAATAACATGAAAATGGATTATTGGATTATTACCTAAATGTTAATTAACATGTTTATTTGTTATTGGTAACAAATCATTTAATTTCAATTTTAGTCTTACCTAGTGTAACATCCCACATCACCCAGGGGAGTGGATCATCTAAGCCTTATATGTATATTATCATCTCTACGTAGCACGAGGCATTTTGGGAGCTCACTGGCTTCGGGTTCCTTAGAAACTTCGAAGTTAAGTGAGTTTGCACGAGAGCAATCCCAGGATGGGTGACCCACTGAGAAGTTCTTGTGTGAGTTCCCAAAAACAACGTGGTTGGGGCCCAAAGCGGACAATATCGTGCTACAGCGGAGTTGAGCTCAGGATGTGGTGGGGGCCCGGGTAGGGATGTAACAATTTGGTATCAGAGCCAATCCCTGGTCGAACGTGTGTCGACGAGGACGTCGGGCCCTTAAGACCAACTCCAATGGTAGGCTAAAAGCCAAATTACCCCCCAAAATTTCCCCCCAAACCCAATCCAACCGAAGGGAAAATTTTAGGCTAAATGCTAAACCAATGCCAGATTCCCCCCAAAATTTAGCCCAGAAATCGAAATTTAAATTTTTCAATATTTATCGGAATTTAAATTTTTTTGATAAAAATGTTCAGGAAAATTAATTTACGATAGTCTACATATTTATTTATTTATTTAAATTTAATTTATCCACAAAAATAGCATAAGTTCATTCTTTAATAATCCGGGGCTAAAATTTTAGGCTAGAACAGTTGGAGCAGAAAAGCTATTTCTGGGCTAAAAGCTAAATTTTCCGGGCTAAAATATTTGGCTTTTAGCCTAGCCATTGGAGATGGTATAATGGGGGTGGATTGTGATATCCCACATCGCCTAGGGAAGTGGATCCTCTATGCCTTATATGTATATTCTCATCTCTACCTAGCACGAGGCCTTTTGGGATCTCACTAGCTTCGGATTCTGTAGGAACTCTAAAGTTAAGTGAGTTCGCGCAAGAGCAATCTTAGTATGGGTGACCCACTATGAAGTTCTCGTGTGAGTTCTCATAAACAAAATCGTGAGGGCGTGATCGGTACCCAAAACGGACAATATCGTGTTACAACGGAGTCGAGCCCAAGATGTGGTGAGGGCCCGTCAGGATGTGACACCTAACATTATTCCCACCCTTTTCTTATTTTCCCATAATTCTATGTTTTTTTTATTTGCCAACACAAAATCTCTGTTTTTATGTTTCATCGTACTTTCATTAAAATGTGAGCTGAAAAATAAGTCGGGTGAATGAGAATAACAAACACTCTTAAAAATATATGGTAATGTTAGAAACACTAAATTTTGTAAACTAAATGATGTCGTTATTGATGATTATATTATTAATGAAGTGTTGTTTAACTTGCTTATTTCTTATTGGTGACAAATTATTTAGTTTGCAAATTTAGTTTAGAAATTTAGTCTCCCTAGCATTACCCGAGACTAAATTTCTAAACTAAATTTTGTAAACTAAATGATATGATTGTTGATGATTTGATTATTATTGAAGTGTTGATTAACGTGCTTATTTTTTTGTTGGCGACATATCATTTAATTTACCTAGCATTACCCAAAATATATGGTACAATAATTTATAATTACCATATTGACCTTGCCAAGCCTATTGTTAAAAATGCACTTGGAGAGCATTACTAGTGAACTACTCAAACACTACAACGCTATTACTAAAAGACACTACAAAGCTATTCCAAAGGACATTTTTCAAGAGTAATTTGAAGTTTAAAGTTTCCACATGCAAATTTTAAACTAAAAACATAACGCAAAATTTAGATTTACTATTTAATTTATTTAAGAGCAACATAATATAATATTCATATTTTTAGTACACTGAAAAATCTCTCTCAAGTTTGAACTATTAGGACCTCATGGACCCTCAAAATAGTGGATTTGGATCCCATCCGGATCCAAATTGTGGAGATTTTAGGAATCCCCACATCTTAGTCATTTATCGTGGATCGTACAGTCAGAAATCATTTAACCTTTTTATTTAAAATTAAATACAATAGTTTCTAATGAAAACTGAATACACACGTGATGTACGATAAATGGTTAAGATATAGGAATCCTTGTGATCCCTACAAAATGAATCCGTAGAGGATCCTCTTTCCAAAATAGTATTACATTGTGGGAGTAACGTCCCTACCAACTTACCAAAAGTTTCTCCACGTCCTCCAGGACCCCCC